GGTTGTTTTTTTTTATCCGCTCTGTTTTCAACCTCGGTGAGTCAGGCCAGAGGAGCTAGACTGCATTCAAAAAGCTCGGTGCTGAAATTGGTGGTGTTGACGCTTCATTTCACTAGGTCTTGATGTTCTCTCTCTCTCTCTCTCTCTCTCTCTCTCTCTCTCTCTCTCTCTCTCTCTCTCTCTCTCTCTCTCTCTCTCTCTCTCTCTCCCTCTCTCTCTCTCTCCCTTTCTCTCTCTCTATTTCTCTCTCTCTCTCGCTCTCTCTCTCAATCTCTCTCTCAGTCTCTCTCTCGCTCTCTCTCTCAGTCTCTCTCGCTCTCTCTCTTTCTCTCTCTCTTGCTCTCTCTTTTTCTCTCGCTCTCTCTCTCGCTCTCTCTCTCTCTCGCTCTCTCTCAGTCTCTCTCTCGCTCTCTCTCTCTCATTCTCTCTCTCGCTCTCTCTCTCGCTCTCTCTCTCGCTCTCTCTCTCGCTCTCTCTCTCTCGCTCTCTCTCTCAGTCTCTCTCTCGCTCTCTCTCTCAGTCTCTCTCTCGCTCGCTCTCTTGCTCTCGCGCTCTCTCTCAGTCTCTCTCTGTCTCTCTCGCTCTCTTTCAGTCTCTCTCTCGCTCTCTCTCTCAGTCTCTCTCTTTCGCTCTCTCTCTCTCTTGCTTTTTCTCTCTCTCAGTATCTCTCTCTCTCTCTCTCTTACTGTTTAATCTTCATGATGGACAAAACATTTTAAAAACTGAAGTGGAGAAGGTCGAGGAGGGGCTGACCGAACGGTTATAACGCTGGGCTCTCAAGCGGGATAGGCGGGTTCGAATTCTCGCTAAGACTAGGGATTTTTTCTGTTGGGGGAAAAATAAAATCCTCACCTGCACAGTCGTGGCGACAGCACTAGCCATGGGGCCGAAGATCCTCAGGTTCAAAGACCCCCCTGTCTACACCGCAAAAGTTGTATAGGCGGGTTTTGTTTTGTGTTTTTGTTTGTTTGTGCAGAAGAGAAAGTTATTAAAAACACAAAGGATGGAAAACCCGCAGGCCCTGACAAAATAACAGCGGAAAGGATACAATCATGATCCAGCTTTGGCGTTGATGGTATCACTGAAATTTTTGATGATAATTATAATCCTGGCTAAATTTCAAAGCACTTGAAAACGTCTAATTTTATCACACTGCCCAAAAAGTCAAAAGCCATTGAGTGTGAAGAATACAGAACAATTAGTTTGATGAGCTATATCATTAGGAAACTACTCAGGATCATACATGAAAGAATTCATAGTAAAATACATAACGAAGTGTCTGAGGAACAGTTTAAATTTCGGGGGGAAAAAAGAGGCTCTAGGGCAGCCCTAATTTGTCCAAAAATGTTAAGTGAAAAGTATATAGAAGTCCAGAAAAGTATTTATGCATGTTTCATAGATTAAAAGAAGGCCTTTGACAATGTACAACAGGAAAAGCTAATAGAATGCCTCCAAAATATAGAGTTAGATGGGAAAGATATTAGAACTATAGTAACTTACACTGTGAACAAAAAGCAACAGTTAGGCACATCAACATAGCCTCAACACAGATAAAGATAGAAAGAAGAGTACGTCATGGATGTGTGTTATCCCCAAGCCATTTCATTTCACATTCAGAAAACATTTTTAAATAGGTTGAGGAATTGCCTTGACTAAATAATAAAGATAACAACAATAAACAATCTGACAGATGCGGATGACACAGTGCTACTAGCAGAAAACGGGCAGGTGCTAAAGAACTAGTGGATCAAGTCAACAGGCTGAGTGCAGATGGTGGTTTGGGCATTAATATTCGAAAAACGAAATCTATGATAATTAACAAAGGAAAAGAGCGGCTGTAATGTTGGTATTTTCCAACGGGAATTCTCTAAATAGTAATATAGGAGTTAATATGAGATAAGAGAGAAATACATGAGAATGTAAATACTCCTAGAAACACGAGATATACGAGCAGGGCTCAGACAAGCACGTGTACCCAGAACGAGGGTTATAAGGTTAGACCAAGGTCTAATCAGTTAATATGTGTTTGACGTGAAAGGTCCGATGTGATAGACGAGTGAATGTGACATTGTATAATTGAAGACGTGAAGGAGATTCTAGTCCATGTGAGGACAGCCAGACGACAGCCTGATGACAGCTTAACCAGAGGTGGTAGCCGACGAGTTCAAACCGGCCAAGGAGTCTAACAGCCATTATCAGAGATGCTGGATCTACCAGTGTGTGTATTGCGTGTGTAATGAAACAGGGCTGAAAGGTAACGAGTGTGGATGGGAGTAGACGACTATTATGTACTTGATAAATGTCATCCTATCTTGCTGGACCTGCTAGCCAATGGTAGACATTGACTGGACCTGATTGCCTGTGAAAGCTAAATAAAGAATATAACCGGATATCGTCTACTCGTTACCAACTGTGTGCATTCACAATGTCATCCATATCTTACATATGAAAAACCCCAGCAACCAGTCAACAGACCGAGGAGACAATATCCCAGTGGCCAGCAGTGAACATTAATAAGTAAGAATAAACTCACAGGGAGCAAGTACAGCGGGGATCTACCAGTCATCAGTAGAAATTATCCTCTGTCGACACACGTTTCGGCCCACGATTCCTAAACGTATTCGGAGGTGGGCCCACCTGAGTTCATGAAGCTCAGGGCTGGTTCCCCGCTGCACGGAATTACCGGATGGTGTTATTATTTCGGCCAGAGACAAGACGACTTGGTGGTTTCGAAGGAGGTACTGTGAGATAAGAAGCCGCCACGGCAGCTTAATTAGAACAGTCAGCGTGCCTGGACGACCGAGCGACAAGCTTATTTTGGTTTACCGGACACATGTTGGACTTTTATTAGCAGTTGGCAGAGGAACACTGGCAGACAATTCGGACACGATGGACTTTCAAAGGGATGAGAAACTCTTTTCCACTAGATACCCGGACCAGCTCACCGAGGCCCGTCCCCTACGTTGTTGCGCTGCGTCCACAGCCAGCTAGAGGCCCTTTCGGCCACCTCTCCCAGTTTTTTGAGTGTTCGTTTCCGTTCATTACCGCGCAATCCTAATTCTTTTACCACATTGTAGAGCGAAGTGGAAACGAGGCCTCTCGCTCCCACTTCGACGGCAAATACCCGTACTGTGTAAGCCTCTCGTTTCTCCTCAAACCGGCTGCTAAATCACTGTACTTTTCGAGCTTGTACAAATGATTCTCCTCCATACGCGACTCAAACGGGACCGTCAACTCAATCAGGATGAGCTGCCGTTTTTGCGCAGAATGGAGAACGATGTCCGGTCGCAGGCCGGTTTTACGGATCAACTCGGGATACCGTTCATGGCCTGGCAGATCAACCGCCAGTAACCAGTCCCTCGCAGAGTCTAGCACCGATGGAGCGAATGCGTTTTTGTTGACCTTACCAATTGGAACCTGCCCAGCCTTGAGGAAACGAATGGGGGCGATACTAGAACTGGCTCTGGCGTTAGCCCTCATTCTAGCCTGGTCGACAACGGCTGCTAACTCCTTTAGCACTTTGTTGTGGCGCCAGGTATATCGGCCTTGACCTAGGGCTTTCCTGCACGCGGACAGGACGTGCTCAAGAGTTTGCTCTAGAGTTTGCAGTAAACAAAGAGCTGCTGGAACAAGTAACAAGTTTCTCCTATCTATGACATGTAGTATCAGATGCTGGTAGAAGCGAAACAGAAATCAAAAAGAGAATATGAATAGCTAAATCTGTCTTCAGTAAGATGCGCAAATCACTGACAGCTAGAGTGATAAACAACACACTAACTACGAGAATTGTCAAATGTTATATATATGGTGTAGAAAATTGGACAATGAACAAGCAACTAGAAAAACTTTGGAAATGTGTGTATACAGAAGAAACGGATATATTTTAAGGAAGCAAAAGCACCCCAATGCAGAGGTTCTGGAAACACTACAGATAAAGAAAGAATTACTGAAAAAAATAAAAAAAGAGACAAACGAAATATTTTGGCCATATTTAAAGACAACACATTTTTTAAAAATCATACTGCAGGGAAAGGTCGAAGGCAAGAGAGCAAGGGGTGGACAACGATCTATCTATCTATCTATCTATCTATCTATCTATCTATCTATCTATCTATCTATCTATCTATCTATCTATCTATCTATCTATCTATCTATCTATCTATCTATCTATCTATCTATCTATCTATCTATCTATCTATCTATCTATCTATCTATCTATCTATCTATCTATCTATCTATCTATCTATCTATCTATCTATCTATCTATCTATCTATCTATCTATCTATCTATCTATCTATCTATCTATCTATCTATCTATCTATCTATCTATCTATCTATCTATCTATCTATCTATCTATCTATCTATCTATCTATCTATCTATCTATCTATCTATCTATCTATCTATCTATCTATCTATCTATCTATCTATCTATCTATCTATCTATCTATCTATCTATCTATCTATCTATCTATCTATCTATCTATCTATCTATCTATCTATCTATCTATCTATCTATCTATCTATCTATCTATCTATCTATCTATCTATCTATCTATCTATCTATCTATCTATCTATCTATCTATCTATCTATCTATCTATCTATCTATCTATCTATCTATCTATCTATCTATCTATCTATCTATCTATCTATCTATCTATCTATCTATCTATCTATCTATCTATCTATCTATCTATCTATCTATCTATCTATCTATCTATCTATCTATCTATCTATCTATCTATCTATCTATCTATCTATCTATCTATCTATCTATCTATCTATCTATCTATCTATCTATCTATCTATCTATCTATCTATCTATCGCACAAACCACCCCCTCCTCTTTCTTCCCATACATCTCGCTTCAAATCAGTAATTAAACTACGACACCGAGGTGCACAAAACTTATATTAACCAAAATAACAACACATGCAGTTATTAAATAACTGCCAAACATTGAGCCAACGAGTAATGTTCTGACGGATTCTCTTATAGCCGACCAGCCTACTGGTTTGACAGGAATCTGCCCGATGGGACAACCGATTATAACCCAAGACTATGGAGCCTGGGCTGATACACGCTGTAGTCCTATACGGCCATGCCCTAAACAAGGCTTTTGTAACGTCGACCGAATGGATTTTTACGCAACGTGTTGCAGGACAGATCCAGGTATGAATCTTAATCTTCTTCTCAAAGTTTATGCCGTGTGGCGTTGGAAGTTATGTTTTTCCGCAAGTTTCTGTCTCATGCAATTTCAGTCAACTCTTATACAGACGACCCTCCGTATTATGATGTCAAAATATCCAGCATCTTGTCTCTTGGGCTCCCTCTGCCTCTCCTCCCCTCCAACTAGCCTACTGTTGTGATACACTTCAATTTTCTACTTCTCGTCACATGACCAAAGAATGCAGACTTTTTTTTCTAAAGTGGGCAATCAGTTCTCTTTTTTGAGGCAGTTTCTTTGTAACTCTTTTGATCTGTCCAAGGTATTCTCATAATTAATTACTTCCACCGCTTCCAGTTAGGTTTTCACTGATTTACCAACTGTTAATGATTCATCTTCATATATCAGGAAAGAATTTATTTACCTTTTAGGAATTCTCTTTCTCGTCTTAACTGACAAAGAAAAACTGCATGAAATATTCTTTATTTTCTAAAATTCTGCCTTTGCTTGAGCTATTCGACATTTAACTTCTTTAATACAAGTACACACCCCTGCATCACTCCGTTGCTGATTACAAACTCCTCTGATATTACACCATCAAAGTTTACTGTACCTTTTATACCTGTGTGGAACGACTCATTAATGCTCAGTAGGTTAGGTGGACACCCAATCTTTTTCAGTGTGTTGAACAGACCTTTTCGACTAACCAAATCAAATGCCTTGGTAAGATCCATAAAATCAACACACAGTGGTTGAATTTTGTTCACGGCATTTTTCCTGCAACTGTCGTAAGGAAAATATTACACAGTGGTAGACTGGTTTTCGCTAAAGCCAAACTGGGACTCTGGGTAAACCTTGTCTCAAAGGATCTGGAGTCTTCGTAAGTACTGTTTCAACAGTACATAGCGGTGATATTCCCCTGTAGTTACTGCAGTCACTCCGAACACCCTTGTTCTTGTACATAGTTATGATGCTTAAGTCTTTGACGTCTTGCGGACCCTCTCCCTCTCACCAGTAGTGTTATTAGCTAATGAATGTGTGGGGTTAGACTGTCTTTCCCACTCCTGATGATCAAAGTCAGAATTCCGTTTCTGTCTGGGGTTTTCCCCAAAGCCAGTTCATCAGTAGTATTTCTAACTTCTACAATTGTTGGAAATACGTCCAGATAGTCAAGAGTTGGTAACCTCTTCTTGGCATTAGGAGCACCATCTGTTAGTCTAGTATTAAATGAATACAGCTCCAGATAATGTTCCACCCATTTATCTAGCTGCTTCTTGTTGTCATTAATAATCTCTCCATTGAAACTCTTTAGTGGTGCACTTTTTTTTTTTTTTAATAGTTGGGCAAATAGCCTTCTTTATTCCCTCATATATGCCTCTATAATCATCACTACCGCTAGCATTTTGAATGCATTCACATAATTGGATCCATTAGTCATTGCCACAGTGTATAGCTAGCTACCTTTTGCAAATGAATAATAGCTTCTCTCAATTCACTGAAGCTGTTCCAAGTTATTTTTTTCCTTGTTTCTGATAAGTATTTCTTTTTTTTTTTTTTTATGTTGTCAGTTAAGGATTTGAGTGTCTGGCTATTTTGCTTCAAACCAGTCCTTACTTCTATGTTCTCTGATCCCATAGATTACGTTAACAAAAACTTGTTTTAGAGGAACACTCGGTTGAAATGAGCACAATTTTGCTCTTAGCAGGGATGTTTCACTGCTTTAAGTCTCCTGTTAGCACAAATCGTTTTCAATACGAATTTATTGAGGGACCCTTGGAATTCATGCTTGGTCTCGGGGCATGGTGTCCGCCTCGAGAGCTAGAGGTTCCGGGTTCAATCTCCGGTAAGAGCTGGGATTTTGTCACGTGGATTTGGACTTCTAGTAATTAATTCCCCCTGGTCTCTGGATAGTGAGATCGGATTTCCGTGTGCATTTTTGCGCACGTAAAAAAAATCCATTGGCAGTTGGAAATCGAAAAGAGTAGTCAAAGAGCGCTGCCCGGGCAAAATTTAGAGTAAAAAATTTGCCTGAAGTATTTTCAGGATCCTCGCCCTTGCTACAGAGCCTCTGCACTGTGCTGAGCCTCTTCGGACTCAGACTCAAGTTAGAAAAAGAACGGAGCACTTATGGGTTACTACCCGTGTGCCATGATGTTGATCCGTTGTTTAAACTTCACACCTCTGGAATTAGTGTTAAGTAGTTTTAACTATATTCTTATCAAACTTGTTTGATTCACAGTTCTTAAATATTAACTGTATGTGCATATTTTAACTTTAAAAAAGACAGTCCATCAAAACCTGGCTCCTGCCCAGCCAAGACAACCAATGACACATCGTTTTGTGTGGATAATTGCAACAATGATGGGGATTGTCGAACAGATTTAAAGTGTTGCCAAGATGGCTGCAGACGATCTTGTCTTTCTCCTGACATCGGTTGTGAGACAAAGGTACATCATTTCATAGTATTCATTTTAACATGGGATGCAGTGGTTTTGCATCGGCAACCGGGTCGCCCATTAGCTTGTCTGTAGACAACTTGGTCGCCTTTCGGGACCGTATTTAGGACTGTCTCCTATGATTTCATCAATACTGCAAGAGTACTTGTCAGAGCTACTTGATGGCGAGCGATGCTTTGCCATTTTAAATAGCGTAATAACCTAAAGCTTCCCCTTCTGGGATGCTAGTTAAACGTGATGATTTGCTAAGCAATTTGAGCCAAGCAGTGGCTATGAGTCACACAAGGACGTTGGCTTTTACTAACAAAGACATTCTAGACCTCTTCACCTTAATCTTAAAATGTTTACCAAATTGAGAAATCAACTAGCATACAAAGGATCGATGTTTCCTTCGAAGAGCAACTGCATTTGCCTGAGAGTGGGAACCACTATTCTGCACACAAAAAGCATTAACCTCAAAACAAATATGCACAGAACACTTAAGTTCTAGAACAAAACAAAAGTCTAGAAGTGGACGAACAGCCAGGACTATCTGCAAGAGTTTACAGTCTGTGAACACTAATGAAGAAAGTGTAACTTGAGTATTTTGACAATTGCAAATGAATATATATATATGTATATATATGTGTGTGTGTGTGTAATTTATCATATATATATATATATATATATATATATATATATATATATATATGATAAATCACACACACACACACACACACACACACACACATATGTATATATATATATATATATATATATATATATATATATATATATATATATATATATATATATATATATATATATATTAATATTATTAAATCACACAGCAAATTGGTATACACTATTGTCTCTAAATGTTAAGACAAGAGCACCTCTTTTGTTAGACTTCTGCTTTCTTAAAACTGCGGTTGGCACGTTGTGTTGGGGTTTATATTTTGCAGTTACTTCCGAAGTATCGAACAGGAGGAGGAAAAGGAGAATAATAATAATAATAATAATAATAATAATAATAATAATAATAATAATAATAATAATAATAATAATAAGAAGAAGAAGAAGAAGAAGAAGAAGAAGAAGAAGAAGAAGAAGAAGAAGAAGAAGAAGAAGAAGAAGAAGAAGAAGAAGAAGAAGAAGAAGAAGAAGAAGAAGAAGAAGAGGAAGAAAACATTCAAACACTTCTATATATAACGCACTCTATCCTGTGAATCGGAATGATGGTGAGTTCAGGTCCTGACGGTAGCGGAATGTTTTCAAAAATGACCGTGGCTCCCAGATCGACCCAGCCTTGAATGGGCAGTGTTAGAAGTCATGGAAAGGGCCGATATAAAATAATGGTATACTTAACAAGTCTAATGACGTGGAAAAGGGTCCTTTACTTTCCTTGCAGTAAGGTATTAATTAAGGTTAGCTGCATATCCTTTACATGACGTCGAAGAACCAACCCCTCAGCCCCTGGCTGTGTGTGGTTTCTCTAGGCAAATTTACCTCCAGTAGTTTGCCATTGCTTTCTGGACATCTCCCCTCTGATACCACTGTCGAAAATAACGCAAGGCGCATGGCCCGCAGCTGGGATCGAACCCGTCACCCCGGCTTTAAGAAACGTTCCCATCGACTTAGCCCCAAAGCCGACTGCAGTAAGGTATAGGAAACAAAATAGAAATACTTTTTACGTCTATACAGAAATGTCCAGAGAGAACCTACTGCTTAATGCCATGGATGTTACCATGCTCGGCTACCGGTGTGTGTTACCAACCCGGAGACTGTGGTATGGGTTACTCTCTATCTAATCTATCTATCTATCTATCTATCTATCTATCTATCTATCTATCTATCTATCTATCTATCTATCTATCTATCTATCTATCTATCTATCTATCTATCTATCTATCTATCTATCTATCTATCTATCTATCTATCTATCTATCTATCTATCTATCTATCTATCTATCTATCTATCTATCTATCTATCTATCTATCTATCTATCTATCTATCTATCTATCTATCTATCTATCTATCTATCTATCTATCTATCTATCTATCTATCTATCTATCTATCTATCTATCTATCTATCTATCTATCTATCTATCTATCTATCTATCTATCTATCTATCCATCTATCTATCTATCTATCTATCTATCTATCTATCTATCAATCTATCTATCTATCTATCTATCTATCTATCTACGTGTGCATGGCTGCCTGTGCGTGTATGACTGTGTGTGTGTCTACATGTGTATCTGTGTGTGTGTGTCTGCATGTGCCTACGAATGTGTTTGCGTGTCTGTGTGTCCTATGTGTATGTGGCTGTGTGTGTGTCTTTATTGTGTTTGTGTGTCTGGGTGTGTGTTGTTATGTTCCTGTGTGTATATGTGTGTTGGCGTGAATGCCTGTGTATACGTACATCTATGTAAGTAAGGATATTTGTTTTTTGTGTCTTTGGGTGCGTATCTATGTAAATGTGTCTGTGTGTGTTTGTTTGTGTGTATGTGTGTGTGTGCGCGTGTAGGACTGTGTGTATGTGTCTGTATGTGTATCTGTGTCTACATGTGTCTGTGCGTGTTTGCTTGTATGTGTGTTCTACGTGTATGTAGCTGTGTGTTTGCCTGCGTGTGTGTTTGTATGTGTGTGTCTTTGTTGTGTTTGTGTGTGTCTTTGTATGTGCCTGTGTGTGTATGTGTGTCTGCGTGAATGCCTGTGTATATGCGGGTCTCTGTGTATATATAGCTGTGTATGTCTCTGTGTGTGTCTGTGTGTACATATCTTTGTGTGTTTGTCTGTGTGTATCTCTGTGTGTAGTGTCTCTGGATGTGTCTACATGTGTCTGTATGTGCGTCTGCGTGTGTGTCTGTGTGTGTGTGTGTGCCTGCGTATATGTATGTCTGCGTGTGTTTTTGGGTTCTTGTCTCTGTGGGTGTGTGTCTGCGTGTAAATGTGCGTGTGCCTGTGTGTATGAATGCCTGTGTATGCTTTTGCGTGTGTGTGTCTGTGGTTGTGTGTATGTGTCTGCGGGAGCATCAGCGCGCGTGTGTTTGTCTGCGATTGTGTGTGTGTTTGTGTGTCTCCGAGTATATCTGTGTGTGTTTGCGTCTGCGTGTGTTTGTTCATATGTGTGCATATGTGTCTGTGAGTGTCTGCGTGTGTGTGTGTGTATACCGGTTTGTGTGTGTGTGTCGCATGTGTATGTCTGTGTGTGTATCTGCGTGTGTGATTGGGTATGTGAGCTTATGTCTGTTTGTGTGTGCATTTGTTTCTATGGGTGTGTCTGTGTGTGTATATCTGTATGTCTGTATGTGTGTGGAATGTGCGTGTCTGTGTGGGTATGTAGGTATGTATGTGGATGAATGGGCTGTGTTTATGTGTGTGTGGAGGTATGTGGGTGTGTTTAAGTGTATTTACCAATCTATCTATCTATCTATCTATCTATCTATCTATCTATCTATCTATCTATCTATCTATCTATCTATCTATCTATCTATCTATCTATCTATCTATCTATCTATCTATCTATCTATCTATCTATCTATCTATCTATCTATCTATCTATCTATCTTATCTATCTATCTATCTATCTATCTATCTATCTATCTATCTATCTATCTATCTATCTATCTATCTATCTATCTATCTATCTATCTATCTATCTATCTATCTATCTATCTATCTATCTATCTATCTATCTATCTATCTATCTATCTATCTATCTATCTATCTATCTATCTATCTATCTATCTATCTATCTATCTATCTATCTATCTATCTATCTATCTATCTATCTATCTATCTATCTATCTATCTATCTATCTATCTATCTATCTATCTATCTATCTATCTATCTATCTATCTATCTATCTATCTATCTATCTATCTATCTATCTATCTATCTATCTATCTATCTATCTATCTATCCATCTATCCATCTATCCATCTATCCATCTATCCATCCATCCATCCATTCATCCATCCATCCATCCATCCATCCATCCATCCATCCATCCATCCATCCATCCATCCATCCATCCATCCATCCATCCATCCATCCATCCATCCATCCATCCATCCATCCATCCATCCATCCATCCATCCATCCATCCATCCATCCATCCATCCATCTATCTATCTATCTATCTATTTATCTATCTATCTATCTATCTATCTATCTATCTATCTATCTATCTATCTATCTATCTATCTATCTATCTATCTATCTATCTATCTATCTATCTATCTATCTATCTATCTATCTATCTATCTATCTATCTATCTATCTTATCTATCTATCTATCTATCTATCTATCTATCTATCTATCTATCTATCTATCTATCTATCTATCTATCTATCTATCTATCTATCTATCTATCTATCTATCTATCTATCTATCTATCTATCTATCTATCTATCTATCTATCTATCTATCTATCTATCTATCTATCTATCTATCTATCTATCTATCTATCTATCTATCTATCTATCTATCTATCTATCTATCTATCTATCTATCTATCTATCTATCTATCTATCTACGTGTGCATGGCTGCCTGTGCGTGTATGACTGTGTGTGTGTCTACATGTGTATCTGTGTGTGTGTGTCTGCATGTGCCTACGAATGTGTTTGCGTGTCTGTGTGTCCTATGTGTATGTGGCTGTGTGTGTGTCTTTATTGTGTTTGTGTGTCTGGGTGTGTGTTGTTATGTTCCTGTGTGTATATGTGTGTTGGCGTGAATGCCTGTGTATACGTACATCTATGTAAGTAAGGATATTTGTTTTTTGTGTCTTTGGGTGCGTATCTATGTAAATGTGTCTGTGTGTGTTTGTTTGTGTGTATGTGTGTGTGTGCGCGTGTAGGACTGTGTGTATGTGTCTGTATGTGTATCTGTATCTAGATGTGTCTGTGCGTGTTTGCTTGTATGTGTGTTCTACGTGTATGTAGCTGTGTGTTTGCCTGCGTGTGTGTTTGTATGTGTGTGTCTTTGTTGTGTTTGTGTGTGTCTTTGTATGTGCCTGTGTGTGTGTATGTGTGTCTGCGTGAATGCCTGTGTATATGCGCGTCTCTTTGTGTATATATCTGTGT